CAGGTCAAGGCTGCGGTGGCCGGGAGCAGCCACTGCACTCCAGTCTGGGCGACAGAGTGAGATTCCAACTAAAAAAAAAAAATTAGTCAGGCTCAGTGGCTCAGCCTGTAATCCCGCTCCTTTGGGAGGCTGAGGTGAGTGGATTGCCTGAGCCCGCGGGTTCGAGACCCATCTGGGCAACTTGGAGAGACCTCATCTCTACAATAAATCAAAATAAGCCGGGCGTGGTAGCACACGCCTGCAGTTCCAGCTACTTGGAAGGCTGAGGCGGAAGGATCGCCGGAGCCCAGCAGGTTGAGGCTGCGGTGACTGGGAGCGGCCACTGCACTCCAGTTTGGGTGACAGAGTGAGACTCCAACTCAAAAAAAAAAAAAAAAAATGGAGCAGGGCTAGTCATGTTGCTTGGTACTGGGATAATGGAGGTAGGTCAGTAGTCCAGCACTGGAGGACTTTGAGGGAATTCTGCTCTCATGCAGGGAAGATGGTTGAGAAATGCTATATTCTCCTATTCTCCAGAGCACAGCTACACTCCTCTGAGAACAGAAGGAGGTTCTCCTCTCCCATGTAGCCAGCCCCAGGTCCCTGGAGGAGGGTTCCCTGTGGGATGGGGCTGAAGCCATCAAAACTCAGGTCTCCACATTCCTGGACAGCAGGGCAGCTGACCATGTTGTTGACCTGAACTCTATGGAAACACAAGATAGCCTCATTCTGACTCAAAACTGCTGGCAGGGTGTGGTTTCTGTCACCTGTGATCCCAGTGCTTTGGGAGGCCAAGACAGGTGGCTCCCTTGAGGCCAGGGTTTTGAGACCAACCTGGGCAACCATAAAAAAAGAACGAATTCATGTCCTCTGCAGCAGCAGCATGGATGCGACTGGAGGCCATTGTTCTAAGAGAGATTTGACATAGAGACAAAAAACCAATACCACATGTTCTCACCTATAAATGGGAGCTAAACACTGGGCACACATGGGCATAACGTTGGGAACAACAGACACTGGGGACTCCTAGAGCGGGGAGGGAGGGAGGGGACAGGGCTTGGAAATGACCTATCGGGTACCATGTTCAATAATTGGGTGACAGATTCAAACTTCACCATGATGCAATATAACCACGGAACAAGCCTGCACCGGTGTCCCTTGAATCTTAAGTAAATAATAAATAGACCAGCATGGGCAACAGAGTGAGACCTTGTCTTTAAAAAAGAAAAAAAGAAAAAACAACCGAGTGTGGTGGTGTGCCACGTCCAACTACTCGGAAGGCTGAAGGAGGAACACTTGAGCCCAGGAGTTCGATGTTGCAGTGAGCTACGGTTGCACAGCGGCATTCCAGCCTGGGCAACAGAGGGAGACCCTGTCTCTAAAACGAACAAAAAACTGCAGGCCCAGAGAGCTCCCCCTCGCTCGTGAGCTGTGGTCATTCAGCGAGGCTGGGATTTCTCGTCCCCCTATTCCATCCCTCAGCTGATCCTGAGTGGTGGCTCCCTGAGCCTGCCTTCTCTCCTCAGCCCACCCAACTCCCTCTCCTCAGCTTCCCTGACTTCCCCAGAGCCCCACCTCCAAAGCCAGAATAGATACCAGAAAAGCTGTCATAGGCCCTGGGGCGCTGAGGCTCTCTCCCGGGTTCTGGGTAAAGAGAGAGGCAAGAGTGTTGCTCCAGACTGTGTGGAGAGCGCCCACATTGTGGGTTCTAGCTTTGACATACAAAAGCCTTTTGCAAAAACATCGTGCGATAAGGAGATAGATGGCCAGTGGCCTCCTAAAGCCAGTGTGGCTGAGAACCAGACAGGTTTGGTCATGTCCTCAGGGTGGCGCACACGCCCGGTGGGATCCCTGCAAGAAGCCAGCACTTTCCAGGTGAGTCCCCTCCCAGGAGCTGGAGTGCGTGTCTTTGGCTTAGGTGCATTTGTTTTTGCAAGGAAGGACAGTTTTGTCTGGGTTTGGGGGGAGACAAAATGAATAAAGAGGCTGTGACAGTTAATTTTATGTGTCAACGCGACTGGGCCATGGGGTACCCAGAGTAAACATTATTCTGGGCGAGTCTGTGAGGGCGTTTCTGTGGGATTAGCATTGGAGTCAGCGGACTTGGTAAACTGATTACCCTCCCCAGGACGGGTGGCACCATTCAGTCCTGCGAGGGCCCAAACAGAACCAAGGGTGGAGGAAGGAGGAATTTATTGGTTGCACTGGGTCATCCCATCTTGTCTTCTCTGGGCCTTAGGGTAGGATCTTCACCCTCAGCGGCCCTGGTTCTCAGGCCTTCAGACCTGGACTGAACAACACTACCGTGGGCCTGGGTCTTCCCCAACAGCAGATCACATGATTTCTCAGCCTCCAAGATCCTGTGAGCCAATTCCGTGGGATAAGTCAGTCCCATTCCCACATGAACCCACCAGGTGTTTTTCTGGAGAAGTCCGAGGATCCCTGGTGCTCCCATGCTGAGCTCAGAGGAAAAGTCACACCATTTGGCCTCTCCCTCCCCACACAGGACTGATTGTCATGTTACATTTCACATGTAACAGCAAACTATAGGACCTGAACTGTGTGATAATATGTAAATGAGTTCTGTGCATCAGCTGAGAGATGGTTTTTTAATAATGTATGATAATGAAGGCTGAATCACCTCTTTACCTGATTGACTGATTTTTTTGAGTCGGCTCTCACTCTGTCACCCAAGCTGCAGTGCAATGGAACGCTCATGGCCACCGCAGCCTCAATCTGCTAGGCTCAGGCGATCCTTCTGCTTCAACCTTCCAAGTAGCTGGAACCACAGGTGTGCACTACCATGCCCAGCTAAATTTATGATTTATTGTAGAGCTGCAGTCTCACCAAGTTGCCAGGCTGGTCTTGAACCTGTGGGCTCAGGCAATCCTCTTGCCTTTGTTTCCCAAAGTGCTGGGATTATAGGCGTGAGCCACTGCATCTGGCTTCTTTACCTGATTTAGATGTCCTTAAAACCCACTGGCTTTTGCCACCAATTTTAGGATGGCTCAGGTGAAACAGATTCATATTTCTTTTTCTTTTTTTTTTTTTGAGTTAGAGTCTCACTCTGTTGCCTAGGCTAGAGTACAGTGGCACGCCCGTGGCCACTGCAGCCTCGACCTGCTGGGCTCAGGCGATCCTTCCGCCTCAGCCTTCCAAGTAGCTGGAACTACAGATGCAAGCCACCACGCCCAGCTAAGATTCATATTTCGATACTGTCTAGAAGACCTTACTGAGTTGAAATACATCAGTGCCTAGAAGTCAGACAAGCAGATAGACAATAAATATATGAGGCTGAGTTAGAGCTCATCAAGGAGGTTTGCAGGAGTATGTGGAGGGACAGAACTCAGTAAGAGCAGGTGCCACTCCTGCAGTCACTTCTGCAGGCATCCCAGCTTCCAGCCTGTGGCGGCCGCCAGGGAAGACTTGCTGCATGTCGGACTGGATGGAGGAAGGTGGTACGGCCATCGCCAACTGAAGTAGCACAGCCATCAGATTGTTTTCTTCTAGGAAAAATCCCAAATCACTCCCTCATTATGCCTAGTTCTTTCTAGAATCATTCAGGTCAAGGGACTGGCCTTGGGTCATCTGTTTCTGAACCTAGATGTAGATTCTATCTAGTTCTCTCCCTTCCCAGAAGCCTCTTGAAGACTTTCTCATTGCCTGGAGATAAGATCAGGAAGAGCCAGGCAGTGGGGAAACTGATAACCTCTGCAGTGCTGGAAATTCTTTTGGATCAGCTGGGCTCCCAAAGGCACTGGGAAGGTGGTCCCGGGAACACAGTCCTGGGGATGGGCAGCCGCAGCCCCGTGGCCAAGTCCAACCCCCAGGGCTTGCCTGCCCCTCCCCTCTGGTCTCTGCAGGCCCAGGGAGGCACTCTGCCTTGAGAGTTGCCGGAAGACCCTAAAGTGTGGGGCCACCCTCCTTTCCCCTGAGTTAATTCTACCTTTAAAACCCACAGGAGTGTTATCACCTTCAACTTCAGCATTCAAGTCAAGAGGTGAGGACTCCTGATTTCTGGGCTGAAGAGATTAGTCTTTTACCTCAGGTACAGGCTTCTTGTGGAGGGCCCAGGTGAACCTTCTCCGGCAGGGCAAGTCTGGAGTAATTTGAGACACAAGGTCCATATGGCTGCAGGGTGGGACAGGAGGTCCCATTGAGTCATGCTCATCATGGCTGTGTCTCATCTACCTTCTGCTTCTCTCTGGCTTTGCCAGGACAAACCTGCCTCAGAAAGAAGAGTGCCCACTTTGGTCATGCTAGAGTCTGAACCCAGGCCGTCTAAGAGAGGAGAGGCCACACAGGAGCCCAGGTGAGCCTAGGTGCCTGGGGCTGGAGAAAAGAGACTCATGACTGAGAAAGGTGGCTTCCATCTGAACCAGACACATAAACCTCGATTTCCTGCTTAACCTCGCCATGCGGGTGGCATGAAATCTCAGGCACGACACACAAGGTCACCTTGTTTCCCCCCCAGGAGTGACCCCAATCTCCCTGCCATATCTCTGCCAAGAGGTGGGCCTGGCACCTTGGCCAGCCAAGCACGGTCAAGCAACTGCAGCCCGTGGGGTGCAGTTCCCTGGCGGGTCTCCCAAGCTGGCCAGGTCAGCAGCTCTTCCCACTGCCCGGGGAGCCTGTGTCCCACTCCCAGGACCACTCGTGATGACCGATGCCCAAGGACACACTCCTGGGACTGGTCTGAACATGCTGCCCCTGAAGATAAAGGACTGTGCTGAGGCTCAACTTGTCCCCTGGGCCAGAGCACTCAGCCACGGCCCAGATCCTCACCCAGGAGCACAGCCACTCACGGGATGCCTGCTTCCCTGCCTCTCGGGTCTCTTCTCTTTTGGCTCTCGTCTGGGTCCCTCAGGCAGGCTTTGGGGTTTCTCTCTCTCTCTGGTTCTCAGGTCCCTGGGGCCAGGCCTGCCACGGGGGCCCAGGGGCCGACTGCCTTCCTCTGCTGGCCGTGGCATGGGGGATTCCAGTTCAGACAGACAAGAGGAGTCCTGGGCTTCCATTGAATCTTTTTAACCTTTCATTTCTGTTGAATGCAGACAGGATTTCAGTGGGGCATTCTTTGGAATCGGGCATGATACGGGGCCGTGAAGAGGCACTTGAGCTTCCGTAGGGGGCTGCAGTCAGTGCACCAGGCACGTGACCCCTGTCTCACTTCATCTCCGTGACTGCTGGACACAGATCACAGGGGTGTTCTTGCTCGCTCCACTCCTGGCATCCCCTCATCCCACCCACCCCACATGCAGATGAGGAAACTGAGGCAGAACGAGGTTCAGCAGGAAGGCAGATACAGGGCTAGAATTCTCATCTCCTGCTTCCTCAGAAAGGACCTGTTCGTCTTCAGGTCTGTTGGGCCCACCCGGCTTCTGCTCCTGTGCCCCTCCTGCTCATGCCAGCGGGCAGGGCTGGGAGTTAGGCCCTCAGCTCTGCAGGTGTGTCCGGCTGCCGGCAGGGGTGAGACACCTGGAAGGCCTCCAAGGCCAGCAGCGACTTGTTGATGCGTCTGATGGTGGAGTAGGGGGTGAGATCCACCTTATACCTGGAGAGAAACGGCCCCAAGCCAAGATTTTCAGGGACACCTGGAGACTGCCCTGGGGGCAGCGAGGGAGCAGACAGCAGGGCTGGATGGGGTCCGGGGAGGATGAGGATGGCAGTCCTGCTAGGGACGCCTCCTTCATGGGGGATGGCAGGTCCTGTGCAGTGTCGTCTGGCATCTGTTACCTTCTGTTCCTCTCTAAGCAACAACTATTGATTGAGAACGTCCTGAGTGTGAAGCCCAGTGCTAGACACTTCCATATACAGACTGTTTCTCCCCCATGTCATAAGCTTTCAGGGGCAGGGAATGTGCCACCCGTCTCCATATTACTGATGCCCAGCACAATGCCATCCACAGAGGGGCTCGTCTGTGCCCTGTGGAAGGGCTGACGGAGGAAAGCAGAGGCAGAGCTCACTGCTAGGCACCGACAGCCCAGGGATGGCAGACGGGTGCCTCGGAGTGTCACCAGGTGAGCCAGCTCCTCTTAGGAGTAGGGCTTATGTACAGGGATGGCCTGGGCTGTGGTGGCCTGGGAGGGGCACCACCCTGATTTCTTATACCGTCTCTTCCAGGCCACAGTGGCTGGTGGCCTGACACAGCGGCTCCTAGGCCTGCTGGGGAAGAGTGGCTGAACTCGGGGGCTTGATTGTGGGCGCTGCCAGGAGAGGGCAGGGGGGCGGGGCTCTCTCTTACCTCTCAGCATTTGCCACCTGAGGCACTAGGCACAGATCAGCCATGGTCACCTGAAAAAGGGTTGTGTGGCTTGTACCAGGTGAGCATCTCAGACTCACTGGCTGGGCTGGATATGTCCCTGTGAGTACTGGGGGTGCAAACCCCTGATGCTCCCATCTGCTCTGGCTCTTCCCCCACTCTTGTCTACCCTGACCTGCCTGGGTTTGTCCCCAGAGCTGAGGTGCCCTCGTTGCCCTGACAACCATTTTCATGGGTGGCCAGAGAAGATCTGATTGCCTTGGTGGAAGTTACTCGGCTTGTTGAACACGCCATCACCAGGCACTTAGTGATGGATCCCAGCAGGGAGGAGATACCCATGGTGAGGACCTTGGAACCAGAATTACCACAGGTGCAGGGCCTTAGCCTGTAGGAGCCAGGGCACCTGGATCCTAGAATCTCAGAATGGGGAAAGAATGGAGAATCATCCAGTGTCGTCCCTCAAGGCTGCCCAAACCGCCCTTCCTCTGAGAAGTGAGCTGAGGCATGCCTCATGAGCTGACTGCTTGGCACAGAGATCCCCCCATGGCCTGCTGTGATGCCTCCGTAGGAAGCTCCAAGCACCCTGCCCTAGGGCAGGGGGAGAGAGGGGCATCCTGGGGTCAGCATGAGGGAGGAGGCCAAGAGGGCAGGCCCGGGCAGGCTCACCTCATCTCCCACGCAGTACTCCCCTGCTGTGCTCTGCAGGATCCGCTCCAGAGCTGTGGTGGGGACAGGAAGACTCTTACTCTGGGCACAGGAAGGGACATCAGCCTCCGCCGTTATGAGACAGGTGCCCATCTAGGTGACAGGCCGGGCCTGGGTGTTGGAGGGAATGTGGTGCCAGGCCTGGGGAGGGTTGCTGGAGGTTTGTGATGCTTCCTCAGACCTCTCACTCCAGCCATTGCCCACCCCAAGGGGCTGGCTCTGCACGGGTCTTGGCCTCTGGCTGGAGTGGGCGAAGAGGCAGAGATGGGGCTATCCAGCTCCCAAGGGCTGAGGACTGTGGGCTCAAATATGGAGGTTCCCAGAGGGGACGGAGCCTGAGGCCAGGCTTGGATGCTCACTCAGCCCACTGCCTCTCAGCCCTGCCCTCCTCCCTGCCACCGTCAAGACCCAGGCAGCCTAGGTGGTGGGTTCAGGTGCCAGGCCCCTGCGTGGGCCATTTCTCTGAACGAACGCCAGGGGGCAGCGCGAGGGAGTGAGGACTCACCGCCAAAGCCCACAGAGATGACGTTCTGGGCCCAGGTCAGCTGCTTCTCCTGGCCCACTTGCTTCAGGACACCCAGGTTCTGTGTGGCCCAAGGAAGACCTGTGATTGCTCTGGGAGACAGGCAGGGCCCCTTCCGCCAAGCCCTTCTGGGAGACTAAGTGCCCACCTGCCCTGGCTGTACCTGTCCCCCTTCCCAGCTGTGTGAGCCCCTCCCATCAGGGATCTGAGGTTGGAGGGAGACGCCCCATGCCACCTTCTTAGGCCACCCCATGGCCTCTGAAAGCCACGTAACTGGCAGAGGTGCACACGAGTCGGGGCACTGTATACTGCCATATCTGTGGCAGGGGTGGCCATCACCTAAGGCCTATCTCCCTGGCACCCTCTGGTCTGAGAGGAGAGAGAGTGTGACACGGGGTGGGGCGGGACGGGGCCGTGTGTGGGGCTGGCTCTCAGGTATTCCTGCTCTGACTCCCTCTTTGCACTCCTGGAACCACCTTACTTCTGGGCGTCAGTTTCCTCATCTGTAAAGTGGAGACATCTGACTGCCCCAAGATTCTTCGTTCAAACAATAACATGACACGGGGGCGAGGGCTCAGGGGCACGAGGCCCCGGGCTTGGTCCCTGCTCTGCTACTACTGAGCTGTGTGACTTGGCAAAGTCACCCCATCCTTCTGGGGCTGTTTGCTTGCTCACAAAGTCAGGAGTTGGCACAGATGAACTGTTTCAACACTTCCTTGTTTTGTCAGTGAAAACTTTTAAAAAATACAATCCTACGAGAATCCTAAGCTCAAACAGAGGGAAAGTGAGGCTGCTATGGTTGAAGGTGGAGGCCTGGACCGTACCCACTCGGCCTCCCCCTGAAGCCCCCTGTCCCACTACGAGTCCCTCTAGACACCTCCCTGGAAGCCCCTGGGGAGGCTGATTTCTGGGATTCCTGTCCTCCACCCCCGCCACATGGTCTCGGTCAAAGCCCTGGGGAATCCCCGTGTCCTCCGGTCACCCCCACCCCGGGCACCTCACAGCCAGTGTGCATGTATGCCTGAAGGTGAGGGGCGGAGGGAGACGGGAGGATGCCTGCCTGCAGGGGCTGGATGCCGCTCGCGATGAGGTTGGAGATCATGCGTACGCTGGCCCTCTTCCTGGGGTCCTGAGGCAGAAGTCGCGGAGTGGGACGAGTCTCGTCCAGGTACTCGATGATGGCCAGCTGTACAGAAGGGCGCAGTGAGGCAGGGAGAGGGCCCAGGACCCTGGCCTAGGAGGACAGGCCAGCAAACTTCTCCTCTTCACTGCCATCCCCTCCGCCCCTCCCACCTCCTCAGCTTGAGCCCTGGGAAGCCTTTCTGGACCTTATCCTGCAGAACTTAGTCCCCATATGCTCAAATCTCCCTTTGACCAGTATTTATTAAGCGTCTCCTGGATGCTAAGCGCCTTGGCCAGCCAGGCGAGGAAGAGCTGCCAGGGCTCTCATTCCAGGCAAGGCTCCTGCAGGGGTCCCCCAGGCCCTGTACTCACTGACTGGCCAATGGTTATTCCATCGATCTTCAGGACTGGCACCTGCTTCATGGGGTTCAGTGCCTGGAACTCCGCAGAGAACTGTGGAGACAAGACCCTAGGGAGGGTGCCCGGCCAGAGTCGGCCAGAGCAGAACCAAGCAAGCAGGAAACCTCAGGATGCCGCCCACACAGACCCCTCTTCCTGGGAAGGCCCTAGCTCGTAGGCCCGGGGTAATCCCTAGCGTACCATGCAGTATCCTGAACCCCAGCAGCTGCTGAACTGCAAGGCTCCATCCCACACCTGGCCATGGGCTTTCCCAGCATCTCACGCTGCAGCCACCAGGGCAGCTCCTACCCTAGCCGGCCATCCAGAGGGCCCAGCATGAAGCAAGGACCCTCTCTCCACTGGGCCTCCCAGGGTCAGCACTGGACAGCCCAAGGCCGTGATGGAGAGCATGGAGCCTGGGCCCTTCCTGGGGCTCCTGCCACTGCACAATTTGCCACCTTGTCCCAGGGGAGACCAGCAGCCTCTTCAGATCACAGGGACCACAGGATATTGCTCACTTCTCAGGGGTGGACAGCCCCCCCACCTCCCACTTGGTACCTCTCCAAGACCTCCAATGCCACTTCGTGGCCTGGGGACAGCCTCCGTACCTGCTGGCCCCCGTCCTTGATGAGGTTGATGGGCATCGTCTCATAGTCAATGCCTTTCAAGGCCAGAGCTAGGAGAGACCGCAGACAGCAGGGTTGGGTTGCAGCCTCCACCTCCACTCCCAAGGTTTCACAGGAGGCCGTGGTGGGGGAAGTTTCTCCATACTGCTAGAGGGTGGAGGCCCAGCCCGGCACCATCCCCTTCTCTCCAGCTTTCCTTGTCACCACCTCTTCCCCCACCCCAGGTGTGCAGTGCCTCTCACCCCTGAACTCCTAGCACCCTCACTCTCTGGAGACCCCAGTGGGGCCCTTATGCCCCTGGTGCTGCTATAAAGGTGTGTGTCCTGGCCACTGTGACTCTTGGAGGACAGCTGGTGTGTCCTGTCACCTCTGTCTCTCCAGATCTTTACACAGCGGGGAGTGGGGTGTCTTCATTGGAGACATGGGATCATTCCCTCACTGGGACACCTAAGGGCCAAGGAAGGGTGCTCAGGTGACCACAGAGCACACACGACAGCTGGCACCCTTCCTCTGTTTGGAAGAGTCTTCCAGTCCATTCTCTGTTCTCAGAGATGTTTACAGATTCCAGGCTCTTTGGCAGTCTCGGGGCACTTGTGACTCCAGAGGCCAGATGGAGATCCCTCTTGATAATTTCCCTTGGCAAGCTGAGGGTCAAAATGCGTGGGTCAGCCCTAGTGGAGAAGGCTGTATGTGTGTGCACGTGTTCAGGCACACTTGGGTACTAAACTGTGGCAATGGCCCGGTGAGGGGAGGGGTCGAGGTGGGTGGCAGTGTGAAGAGGGCCAGGGGAACACCACCAAGCTCCTCCTGGCGCTGGTCACTCCGCTCTGGAGGTGGAAGTGGCTGGGGCTGAGTAGGACGCAGGCCCCAAAGACAGCCAGCACCCACAGATGGAAGTGCTCCACAGACTGACCGCTCCTACTGCTCTGCTCTGCCTAGGCAGAGGGAAGTTTCTCTGGGCACCCAGTGCTCTTGCTCATACCAAGGGACTGTGGGGCGGGGCCACAGAGGGGATGGTGGGGGATGGCTTTGCAGTTAGGGCCAGGCTCTGGAGGCAGGCTGCTTGGGTTCAAATTTTATTACATCCATTTGCTGGCTGTGTGGCCTTGGGCAAGTAACTCAATGGGCCTCTGTGTCTCAGTTTCCTCACCTGACAAGTAGCATAGTATAGCTATTAGAAACATGGGCTCTGCACTGGACTGTGTTCTTAAAAATTCAGTGGTCTGCATTTATCCTTTCATGTATCATCACTGAGTAGGTATCAAAATCGCAATGCATATAGACCTACGCATTGACAAATTTCACTTGTACACAGCATAAATATCTTAATATGTTAAAATTAGAAATGACCATGTGCTCTGGTGAATCACTACAAATACTACTCCTGCCTAACTTTTAATTAATTAACCTCTACTTCTCAGTTTCCATACTGGTACTCTGGGACCCCCAAAATCATCTTATTTATATTAAGATTATTGTAAAAAAAAAAAAAAAAAGACAAATTGTATGCAAAGTGGTTAGAACAATGCCTAGTAAATCATAAATGCTCAATAATTACTACAAAAAGCAATATTTCCTTATTAATGCTACATTACACTTATATGTTACTTATTTTCAATTTCGAAAACGTGGACTCTGGAATCAGACTATGTGGTTCAAATTCCAGCTCTGCCTCTTAGTAGCTGCTTGATCACAGGCAAGTTACCAAGTTATTTAACGTCTCTCTGCCTCAGTTTCCTCATCTATACAATGGGGAGAATAATAGTACTTCCCACCTAGGTTGAAATGGAATCACGCACACAAAACCACTGAGCACAGAGCTCTTCCTCAGTGTGGGCTGCCATGACTGTGACCTTCGCCCAGGACATTCAGCTGAGGGAAGGCTGGCTCAAACGACTCGCCCGAGGGCCCTGGCTGAGCCTCCAGGGTGACACTGCCCAGCTCTGTTTAATGTGCCAGATTAAATGAGATAAGAACAGAGGGAGGCCAGCTGTCCCCTGCTTGTTACCAGGAACTTCTGCATTTTGTGATCTGCCTTGGGTAGGGTTGCCAAGGGACTCTGGAGTGTGGTGGTAGGGGTTCCAGGAGAACAAAGATCCTCTTCCTCCCACCTCCAGCCTGCACTTCCTGGAGATGCCATTCAGGGATCGGGGCTCCAGGAGACAGGATGCTGGTGCCAGGGTGGTGGTGGAGGGCAAAGTCCTGTGTGACTGAGCGCCCCTTCCCCCTGGGGCCCATTTTGCCCCCGGGGCTTCTGCACTGCATCCCACCTTTACCAGTGCTCAGCATGGTGAACACACAGCTCTTACCACTTCGGACTCTCCAGGCACAAGAGCTTCGGAAATAGGAGTAGAGGATGGGCTGGGGAGAGAGGAGAAAGGTGTGTGTGAGCTCATGAGTGGAGGCTCCCAGCTTCGGGAGCCACGGTGGGTGCCGGCATTGCTTCTTCCCACCCCACCAGATTTGCCTCAGGCCTCACTGGGTCAACTCAGGTCTGACTCGGAGCTCTCTAGGCCAGAGGCTCCAAGAGTCCGGCGAGATCCTTTGGCTCCAACCTGTGCAGGCCTGACTTTCTGAAGGCTGACAGGCCCCCTAAGGAGCAGCTAGCCTACAAGTGTCTTCCTTACCTTGCCTGACTCTGTCATGGTGCTGCAGTGACCACTGGTTTCCAGAGAATGTCGCCTCTTACAGAGCTTCGGGGCAGGGGCAGGAAGCTGGAGGGGGCGGATCTCATGGGCCAATGGGAGGGCTGGGCTAGACAGGGAGAACTTTGACTCCAGTCAGAAAGGGAATCACTTGCCAGCTTGTAGGCAGTTTCTTGCGCTCCTGGTGGAGCCAGGTTTGGTGTCCTAGGCAGTGTGTCCTGGTTTTGATTCAGAGCTTGTGTGGGGGAGTGGACTGGGAGCTGGCATACTTGATGTCTGGATCAGTACAGAACCCAACTCTATGTGAGCAAATCCCTGCCTTAAGTCTTCACATCTTCGCTTCTAAGGTGAAAGGTTGCCGTACAGTGACGGCATAGGCTCCTTCCAGCAGTGGCAGGAAGACCATGAATTCTAATTTTTTGATGCTTTAGTGCCCATCCCCTTCCACATCCCCTCTGCCAGTCTTCCAGGCTCTCAGCTGGCCTCATAAAAATAGCTGGCACGTATGCCTACTCACTTCTAAGGTGAGGACCAAGCTGGCAATCCACATGGTCCTGTCTGGCCCTCAAAAGTGTCCTGTTTGGTCTACACAGTATTTAAACATGTTTCAATTAGCTACTGCTGTTTAAAAATCAAGACATTTCAGATTCAAGTCCTGTTTTGTTTTGTCTTAAAAAAAAAATCCAGAGATAGTGGATTTGGTTCCTAAGTAGCAGCAATTGACTGGAGCAGATGAATGGCCCCCATCCGTTGGGGCACACTCTCTCTGGCCTGCCATCACTCACACCTGGCCACTTTTCTCATTTTTTGTTACCTTCAGGCCTCTGGAAGCAGTGGAGTATGTGAACTCTCCTCTGAAGTTTAAGGGCTCAAAGTTAATTTCTCTGGTATTTCTTGGGTATCCAGTATTTCAAAGCAGGACCCAGGAAAGAGCTGCCAACGATTAGCACTCAAGAATTCTCCTGCAGACACGAGTGTATCCATATGGACAAGGGAAAATTTGATGGAAGTTCTCACCTCAGCTAGTTTATCACCCCTCTGACTAGAGACATTTCACGAGGTTCCCTCTCCTACCCCCAGCACATCAAGACAGCTTCCACCAGCCCTGGCACTGCCAATTCAGCCTTCTAGGCAGGCAAGGCATGAGTGGAAGCCCAGGCCTCCCAAGGTGGTTCCCAAGGCTAGGAGTCTCAGTGTGTCCTGAAAGAAACTTTTGTGGGGAAAGTAAAGATGGTCCTGGCACAAGGTGATGGGCAGCAAGTGTCCTTCAAAGAGGAGGAGTTGGGTGGCCACAATGGGGACTTCCTTATTTGAAGATGCATCCCTTTTCTTACCCCTGGCACCTAGATACAGGAACTGCTGGTGAGGGATGGACCCACTGGATAGAGGCAGGCATTTGATTAGAATCCCTGAGGAAATGTCTCCCCTAATGACTTCAGCCTGTGCAAAGGGTGACCAGAGGCATGCTGGATGCCACTGCCCTCTGCCTTATGGGCCAGAACTAGGACACCTGAGGCTTCTTAGGCAACTACTACTCTTTCAATAACTATATAAACTACCTCATATTCCTTTCTGCACTTTAAAGCTAAGTTTTAAGCCCCAGTATCCATCTCATCAGCACTCCCAGAAGAATTCTGTTCCCAATACAAACACACATTCTGATTCCTCTAGCAGATTTTATTTTTAAACCATCTCTTACACATGATTTTTAAAAGACTCCTTAAATCTCATTTGGGAGTGGGAGGACTATGCATTATTAACATGACACAATGTCCCACCTGACCTGCCACCTTCCACAGTGTCACAAGAGCCGTTCTTGGTGTGTATAAAACCCATCCCAGCAGCTATGATCACATGTCGATTCTCGGCTACTACGATGGGGTGGCCCCGGGGGGACTCCCCAAGTGACTGTATGGCGGCCCCTTCTCACCCAGGGTCGTTCTTTTTTTTTTGAGTTGGAGTCTCACTCTGTTGCCCAGGCTGGAGTGCAGTGGCACGCTCATGACCACCACAGCCTCGACCTGCTGGGTTCCGGCG